CTTGATGAACTCAGCAAATTCGCTCGAAATTCTCATTCTGATGAACTAACAGCTCAATCCTCCGCTGGAATTCTGCTAACGGATACCCACCCGCTAGATAAGCTAGTCGAGTCATGTTTTCAGGAGATTTCTTGCCTGCTAGTTGACGAAGGTCGTGTAAGAAACCCTGGGGGATGCAGGCTACAGAACAAAATTGGGAACGTTCTGGAGAAATACGGGCTCGGATTGCAAATCGGCTTGCTGCTTGACGAGGACGGAAACTCGTTGATACACGTGGCTATTAACTTGAATCTTGGCGACAAAGCTGCCGCTGTTGTCTCGGTGCTCCTCGATTTGGGTATTGACGGCAATCAGCAAAACCACGAGTAAGTGCAATTCATTCGCACAGGAACTTGAACCATTTCACCATTTTTCTTAACTGTCCTGCTGGCGTGTTCAGAGGAGAAAGCCCACTGCTGTTGATCGCTGCATCGGGAGATTTCGCCACAGCCAGTGTGTTACTCGGTGTCCCATCGATTCAAGTTGATTTGCCGTGCGCTCTTGGGGTTACAGCTTTTCACGCCGCTGCAAATGCTGGAGACGTAAAGGTTTGTATAGCGGATGCTTAAGCATGGACCTCGCTACGCAATACTCACCAACCCGGTGTATGTAAATTGTCAAGTAGATGCTGCAGTTGTTGTGCGACGCTGGCGCTCAGCCAGATGTACGAGACGAGAATGGCTGGACGGCACTTCACTACGCTGCTGCTTGTCCTACGGGCCCCGAGGCTCTCCATTTTCTGTGCGAGCTTCTAGCCGATGGTTTTATCGACACTCAATGCAGCGAAGGAAACACAGCACTTCACGTCGCCGCTGGCTGCGGATGTATCGACAATGTATGCGCGCTACTGGAAACGGCAGCGAACCCGCACGTTTGCAATTTCAATGGAGAGAGCGCCTACCACCTCGCACTGCGGAACAACCGCATTCAATGCGCGGTAGTCATCAACGACTACCAAAGTGTACCGGTGACAAGCTACACGCTGCCTCCGTTGACTGAAGCCAAGGAGAGTGTGCTTGCTGAGGCTTCCGTAGCCGCATCGGGCGATTGGGGAGGCGGACCAACCATGCCCGAAGGTGGTGAGTGGATTGAAAGCTTCACGGAGGATGGCTGCGCTTACTACTACAACTCGGTGACGGGGGAGTCGTCTTGGTACAAACCTGGGGAGCACCAGCTACCGAGTGTTTGGCAAGATGTGGAGTCCGAGGAGTGCGGTTCGGGTGTTTATGACACACGATGTGAAAACGATGCGAGTTTCTCCTACCAACTGCCTGCAGACCACGTCGGTGGGAGCATTCTTGGAAAAGACACGGGGCAGCAGCTTCCATTGTGCCTCATCCCGATGGTCAGCCCCTTGACGTCACTTGATAATCCGACTGCCGCTGCCAAATACGAAGCTGCGCGTCGGAGAGCGCGGAAGGAGCGGAAACGTCGACGATCGAGGCTGAGCATCACTCACTCAACCAACAACCAGGAGATGATAACTGGCGGTACTCACAACGAAAGTTATTAATCTGATGGTGAAGCAGTTCAATGATCTCACTTCGCCACAAAAGCTACACATCCACCTTCAGAAAACTTTACACACAACATTTTGAGGCTTCTGCTGCAACATCCACAACGAATGGAGAACGACGCGAGCTCATCTATCCATTTGTTGCCACGGATCGCAGGCATATCGGATTCCTCTACAACGGAGAAGGTCGCCGGAAAAATGGGATCAGATAGTCATCGCTTCCCCAAAAGAAAGTAGCGAACAAATGGGTTTGAGGTAGCGCCTTGAAACCATCCGGCCTCGTCCTTCTACGCTGAAATAAATCCGCTTTGCTGTCCGTCCACAGGTGACTGAAGTGATGATCTTTCGGTGAAGTTGATCGGTAGAGTACCAACCAAGGCTGAAATCAGGAGCCTCACCGCTCACTTTTCAATCCGCCGTCTCGCGATGAAGTTCCTCTCCTCCGTCGTCGCCCTCGCCGCCCTCGCCGCCTTCAGCTGCTTCACCTCTAACTCGGTTGAAGCCCATTCGTGGCTCGTGAAGCCGGTATCCCGGGAGACTGGGCCTCGCACGACCGACGGCACTGTGGGCTGCCCCAATACGACACCCGGCACGGTAACCTCGTTCTCTCCTGGCGAGACCATCGACGTCCGCTACTGGCGCAACAACCACCTCGGCGGATTCATCCGCTGGGCCATCTCGCCGGTGGGCAGCGAGTCCGCCTCCGACTTCGACGACAACGTCTTCTTCTACACGTGCCGCGAGTCTGGACCAGACTGCGTGGCTGCCGATGGCTCGACGAGTCGATATGCTGGAGACAATAGCAACGCCAACTCCATTTCCTGCGGTGACACGATCACTCTGCCCGATTGGCTCGACGAGGGCGACTACGTGCTCCAATGGGTCTGGTTTGCGGTGGGCTCCAGCTACGGCAACATTGGCTGGGCCGAGCCGCAGTTCGTGTCGTGTGCTGACATCACACTAACGTCGACGGGCTCGGGCAGAGAGCCCGAGTGCCCGACCTTCGTGGGGGGAGATCGAGTGACCAAGAACGAGGACTTGGGCAACGACGAGTGCTTCTACTTCTACACCAACTCGATCGAGTCGACGCAGTTCAAGGGGAGCAACGACAACTACGAGCAGTACTATGTCTTCGGCAAACCCTCTTACGTTGAGAACTGCAGTGGGAGTTCCAATGGGGCGGGGAACTCTACGATGGCAACTGAGACTCCGTCCACCACCATTCCAGCTGAAATCCCTCAGACGGACACTCCTACGACTGAGTACCCCACGAACACCCCCTCCACTGAGAACAGTGTGGCGGGTGACGCTAGTGCGCCTCCAACTGAAGACTACCCCGCTGGAACTGTCACGCCTGGAGGCTGCAAGAGCAAGAAGAGCAGATCGGTTCGCAGTTGAGGAAGTGTCGAGTAAGTACGCGTAGAAGCAGCGTAGTTTGTACTTGTCGACGTGTTTGTCATCTCGTATCCTTCCAGCAGTTTTCACACGCACAAAATAAACAATCGGTATCCGTCCGAGTAGTAACCCGTTTGCCAACACCTCCCTTCACTCTACATTCACATCCACAAGTCTGAAGAGTACAGCGATCACGTGCATATTACAAACCCAAATGCCATCGATTCGGAACCGCGGCTGATACCTCGACTCAAAGGGCAACAAAGACAAAAATACTTGGAGTGCCTCCATCACACCAGATTTGAGTTTCATGATCACACATCTATTCGGTCTAACCCCCTCCTAGTGAACTACCCACACACAACAACATTAATACTCTCAGGTGCGCTACGATTCGCACTTCTGCCTACCATTTACTTCTCGTTGATGTGGACGTCACTCTCCGTGTACTGGCAGAGCGTGCCCGACGGTCCGTCGCCCAGGTTGGACGGCGTCTTGCTGCCCTGCGACCACTGGCACACCTTGACGTCGCCCTTGCCGTCTGTCGTCTTGACATAAATGTTCTTGAGCGTGGCCTGGTCGTTGTAGTTCTTGTTCACCGTCACAAGACTCACGAGCGGGTCGATGGCGTACACGTTCTCCACCGTCACAGTGCGAGGGATGTCTCCGCACGTGCCGCACGAGCGGTAGAGCTTGCCGAACTCCTGCGCGAAGAAGCCGTTGATCTTGACGGTGCCGTAGCCGTTGTGCTGCACCACCTTGTCCGAGGCGTAGCGCGCGCCGCAGTTGGTCACGGTGGTCACACTGGAAGCAGTGCCGCCCTTGATGCTCAGCGCGTCCTCGCACACGTCGTCCCACCAGACGTTCTCGATGGTGCAGTCGTGGTCGTCGCAGTGGACGCCCTCCTTCTGGTTCTTGCCGATGATGGCGTTCTTGAGGGTGCCGCCGGCCTCGACGAGGAACACGGCGGAGTCCTTCTGGCCCTCACCGTCGGTGCACGTGATGTCGGAGCGCTCGAACGTCTGCATCTTGCCGTCGAAGACCTCGCCGGCCTTGATGGTGTACGGCTTCGATTACAGAACGGTGCCCGCGCTGGCTGGCCACGTGCCGTCGGGGACGCCCACAGTCGTGTTGGTGGCGGTTTGCTCGGTTGAGTCGCTGCCTGTCGTCTGAGCGGTTGAGCCCGTGCTGGAACTCTGCGTAGGTGAACCGGCATTGGAGTTCTGCGTAGTCGGGTCGGTAGTCGAACCGCTGCTGCTGCTGCTGCTGCTGGGGGCGGTAGCAGCAGAACTGTAGGTGGAAGTGGAACTGGTGCTGCCGCTGGCACTTGGCGCGACGTTCTCCTGTTGGCTCTCTACGCCGCTGTTGCTGGCCGACGAGGTCGAAGCGGAAGCGGAGGTGGTGGACTGCAGCGAGGGCACTTCAACTTGCTGGTTGCTGCTGCCGGAGGAGGACGAGGAATCGCACTCGAGGATCACGTTCGGTGCCTGCGGGGGGTCCAAAGCGCTGCTGGACGCGACGCTAGACAGCTGGGAGGTCTGCTCCGAGGCCTTGCTAGAGCTCGAGTCGCACTCGAGCACGATACCGGTCTGCTGTTGAACCGATTGGGTCAGGTCGCTCTCGCTGCTGGAGGCGACGCTCGACTGCTGGGCGGCAGCTTGTGTCACGTCGTCCGAAGACGAGTACGTCGAGCCGGAGCTTGAGGTCGGGCTCGATCCCGAGGCTGAAGGGAGAGCGGCCGGCTGCTCCGTCGAGTCTTGCTGCTGCTCGGTCTGACTACCAGCGCTGCTAACAACCAACTGCTCCAGGCTGCCGCTCTCCACAGGCGCCACCGTGCCGGGGGCAGACGCCTCGGACGCCTCGGTGGACGAGTTCGACGACGTCTGCGATGACGCCGCGGCTGACGAAGCGAGTGATGAATCGCTGAAGGACGACGACTGCTGTGCGGGCGTCTGCGACGATGAAGCCGAAGCGGAAGCCGACGCCGCGGTCGAAGTCTGCGCCGCCTGGGAAATGTCCTCGTTCACGCGCACGTCGCTCTCCGAGTACTGGCAGAGCGGCGGGGACGGCCCGTGGCCCAGGATGGAGGGCTCGCCGTCGGCGTTGCCCTGCGACCACTGGCAGATTTTGACCGTCTTCTTGCCGCTGGACTTGACCCAGACGTTGCTGAGCGTGGCCTCGTCGTTCCAGTTCTTGTTCACCGTCACGACGGCATTGGTCGGGTTCACGACGTAGACGTTGGCCACGTCCACCTTGCGCTGCTTGTCGCCGCACGTGCCGCACGAGCGGTAGAGCTTGCTGACGTCCTCGCCGTAGAAGCCGTCGATCTTGACGGTGCCGTAGCCGTTGTGCTGGATGACCTTGTCGTCGGCGTAGCGAGCGCCGCCGCCCGTGACCGTCGTGACACTGGAGGCGGTGCCGCCCTTGACGCTCAGCGCGTCCTCACACACGTCGTCCCACCACACGTTCTCAATGACGCAGTCGTGCTTATCGCAGTGAACGCCCTCCATTTGGTTCTTGCCGATGATGACGTTCTTGAGGGTGGATCCAGGCTCGAGCTTGAAGACGGCGGTGGACGCGCCGCTCTCGGTCTGGCCCTCGCACGAGATGTCGGAGCGCTCGTACGTCTGCATCTTGCCGTCGAACACCTCGCCGGCCTTGACGATGTGAGCCTCGGAGAACTGGACGGTGCCCGTGCTGGCGGGCCACGTGCCGTCGGGCAGGGAGGCAGCGCTCGCAGCCGCGATCGCCAGGGCGATGGTCGTCGCAAAGTTCGCGAAGGACTTGACCATTGTGGATTGCAGCAGCAGCAGTGTCTTGGTGAGAGTGGAGCTACTTCTTAGCTGGTGGGGGGAGCTGCTGGACCAGTTGATGCCTGAGAGGCCAATTGATTAATGACCGACCGACTAACTGACGTCGGGCTGCCCGTTAGTTAGTCGGAGGGCAACGACGATCAGAGTGGTGACCGTTTGTACGGTGCTTCGGCATCAGTGACCACGACGGCGAGGACCTGATGGGCCAGTTGTTTTCCTGCAGCCATGCTGCTGTTGGGCTTGCGGGTGAGCCCAGCGGTTCAAATCCGTGGCGATGGATCATGCCTGTCATCGCTGGGGAGTGACAACTTGGCGTTTTTTGCTACTCGCGACTCCTAAGTGGTGCGTGTTTAATAGATTGCACGACTATCTCAATGCAGAAGAGGAACACTGAAGGTCTCGCAAAAGTTTGCAAAGTTTGCTTATAACACGATATGTATACTATTGAGAGGAGAAGGTTTCTAGTCGACGCCGAATCCAAGCACATCGCGCAGCAGCGGCTGGCCTGTTGCGTTCGCAGACTGAAAACGGTCCGACTCCTTCATTCAGCCTGTCACCTTGCAGCATTCCAAGTTTACATGCATTATTGCGACTTGTTTTTCGTATGTTGCTCGGGTCAACCGGTTTCAAGGACGCCATGTCCTGCTGTATTGTGTCTCACTCCACCCCACCTGCCGCTTAAGCGCGGTAACGTTGGTGCTGCACATGTGCATTCAAATGGCAACTTCGGAATTGGTTGCGAGCACGAGTGAGCAGGGGGGCTTGCTTCAAATAATGGCCGCGGCGATTAGTGTCGTGGTGTCCCTTGCTATGCGTTACTTGCGGAACGGAGCGGGGTCAAAGGAAACCATCGGAGACCGAGCGTCACGACGTGGATCCTGAGCTGTCCTTGCCCTGGAAAGTTTCCAGGAACAAGTTGTTTCCAGTGGAAACAACTTGTTTCCAGGGCAATATAGCTCAGGATCCTCTTGTTTGAAACAAGGGGTTGGGTGATGGGAAGGCGCCTAGTACATGTATGCAAAGAGTTTGTGGTGGTCGCAAGTGTAAAGGCGGTCTGTTTAAAATGCAACAAGATCCGTGATGCCGTGTGACCGTTTGGTGTTCGAGAAGCAGGAAAGGGCTGTAACAAATCTCCTTCCATGAATGCCCACTCCGGGAACTTTGTCCTTCAACGACGAAGCTGGTGCTTGCTGCGAATAATGCTGAAGAACCGTTATCAGAGCCGCAACTCGCTGTGTACTTGTCGCTGTACGAGTGGTGCCGCTGATTTCCTTGAAGATCCAGACCAGTTGCATTCTTACTCAGATTAATCAACAGAACCCTGACAGGTTTTGCTTCTCGGAGTCCGAGACTCGGACACCGCAATGTGACAACCGTATGACGGTGGTGGACCATGCTGAAGATCGAGACAATCACCGGGGATCCGAGCACTCAACACATCTTTCTCCTCTATCGCTTCGTGCCCCACTCGATGCAGATTTGCACTTAACAACGGGTTCGGGGGTCAACTGCAGCCTTCCCGGTAAGTCGTTTGCGACGCTAGTTTTGCGCTGCAAATTGCGTGGTAAAGCACTTGGTTCTAACTTACGAATATATATATCTTATGAACACTTAGGGAACCGAAGGACCTACACAGAGTATGATTCACTAGCTACGTGCCCACGAGTGCACTTTATTTCGTTGTTTTAGGTCAGATTTTAGTGAGGGATTTGCAGCTCTAGGAAGATAATGTACCGCAATGTGTCAGGTGTGGGAAAACAGCGATATATCAAGCATACAGATGTATGGGGGTTAAACGTGGTTCATTTGGTGTAGCCCAAAGCCATTAAGGGATTCTTGCTTGATGAGCAAGATGCCGTATGGCAACCCCAACACGGGAAGGAGGGTGGGTTAAATCTGCTACGGCTCGTGGCTGCAAGGTAGGCTTGAATGCTCTGTGCTCAGTCTGAGGGGGGGAACTCCAAAATGAGCCACAAATCTTGGCGATGCCACTTGCATGGTAGTATCTTGTGTCGAAGATCGTCCTTCTAGAAAACACTTTTCCCTCCCTTCTTCCGCTTCACTCCATCCGCCTTGCTCCATACGTTACGCTCACGGCGTCCGGAAAACAACCATGTCTACTACGCAACAACATTTCAGCTCTTCAGTAACCAGATGTTTGTCAAGTGGTAAAATAAGGTTCGAGTAGCCAATGGCATGCAGCGAAGGTGTGCACCGCCCAATATCTCGGCTTTCACCGAGTGCAGCAAGGTAAGTTTGACGTGAATTTTCTTCAAATTGTTTGTTGTACCTCTGTGCCTAATATCGCTACCCAGTAAATTCTAGCGCAAAAATTCTAATGGTTCAGCTTACCGAGAGGTCCTGGAAATCTATAATTGTATTCCGAAGCGATTGTTAGAAGTCTTCAGACTCTGAAGTTCAGAGTTTCATGCTTGCCAGGAACCTAACCAATTGTTTCCAGGGCAAGCAAGCAGCTCGACAAACTTTGTCGGACAAAGACAGCCTGCTAATACATGTAACAGTACCGGTATTATACCGGCAGTATATGAACTGCGATGGTTCCCTTTGACCCAAGTAACGCATAGCAAGGGACACCACGACACTAATCGCCGCGGCCATTATTTGAAGCAAGCCCCCCTGCTCACTCATGCTCGCAACCAATTCCGAAGTTGCCATTTGAATGCACATGTGCAGCACCAACGTTACCGCGCTTAAGCGGCAGGTGGGGTGGAGTGAGACACAATACAGCAGGACATGGCGTCCTTGAAACTGGTTGACCCGAGCAACATACGAAAAACAAGTCGCAATTATGCATGTAAACTTGGAATGCTGCAAGGTGACAGGCTGAATGAAGGAGTCGGACCGTTTTCAGTCTGCGAACGCAACAGGCCAGCCGCTGCTGCGCGATGTGCTTGGATTCGGCGTCGACTAGAAACCTTCTCCTCTTACATATCGTGTTATAAGCAAACTTTGCAAACATTTGCGAGACCTTCAGTGTTCCTCTTCTGCATTGAGATAGTCGTGCAATCTATTAAACACGCACCACTTAGGAGTCGCGAGTAGCAAAAAACGCCAAGTTGTCACTCCCCAGCGATGACAGGCATGATCCATCGCCACGGATTTGAACCGCTGGGCTCACCCGCAAGCCCAACAGCAGCATGGCTGCAGGAAAACAACTGGCCCATCAGGTCCTCGCCGTCGTGGTCACTGATGCCGAAGCACCGTACAAACGGTCACCACTCTGATCGTCGTTGCCCTCCGACTAACTAACGGGCAGCCCGACGTCAGTTAGTCGGTCGGTCATTAATCAATTGGCCTCTCAGGCATCAACTGGTCCAGCAGCTCCCCCCACCAGCTAAGAAGTAGCTCCACTCTCACCAAGACACTGCTGCTGCTGCAATCCACAATGGTCAAGTCCTTCGCGAACTTTGCGACGACCATCGCCCTGGCGATCGCGGCTGCGAGCGCTGCCTCCCTGCCCGACGGCACGTGGCCCGCCAGCACGGGCACCGTCCAGTTCTCCGAGGCTCACATCGTCAAGGCCGGCGAGGTGTTCGACGGCAAGATGCAGACGTACGAGCGCTCCGACATCTCGTGCGAGGGCCAGACCGAGAGCGGCGCGTCCACCGCCGTCTTCAAGCTCGAGCCTGGATCCACCCTCAAGAACGTCATCATCGGCAAGAACCAAATGGAGGGCGTTCACTGCGATAAGCACGACTGCGTCATTGAGAACGTGTGGTGGGACGACGTGTGTGAGGACGCGCTGAGCGTCAAGGGCGGCACCGCCTCCAGTGTCACGACGGTCACGGGCGGCGGCGCTCGCTACGCCGACGACAAGGTCATCCAGCACAACGGCTACGGCACCGTCAAGATCGACGGCTTCTACGGCGAGGACGTCAGCAAGCTCTACCGCTCGTGCGGCACGTGCGGCGACAAGCAGCGCAAGGTGGACGTGGCCAACGTCTACGTCGTGAACCCGACCAATGCCGTCGTGACGGTGAACAAGAACTGGAACGACGAGGCCACGCTCAGCAACGTCTGGGTCAAGTCCAGCGGCAAGAAGACGGTCAAAATCTGCCAGTGGTCGCAGGGCAACGCCGACGGCGAGCCCTCCATCCTGGGCCACGGGCCGTCCCCGCCGCTCTGCCAGTACTCGGAGAGCGACGTGCGCGTGAACGAGGACATTTCCCAGGCGGCGCAGACTTCGACCGCGGCGTCGGCTTCCGCTTCGGCTTCATCGTCGCAGACGCCCGCACAGCAGTCGTCGTCCTTCAGCGATTCATCACTCGCTTCGTCAGCCGCGGCGTCATCGCAGACGTCGTCGAACTCGTCCACCGAGGCGTCCGAGGCGTCTGCCCCCGGCACGGTGGCGCCTGTGGAGAGCGGCAGCCTGGAGCAGTTGGTTGTTAGCAGCGCTGGTAGTCAGACCGAGCAGCAGCAAGACTCGACGGAGCAGCCGGCCGCTCTCCCTTCAGCCTCGGGATCGAGCCCGACCTCAAGCTCCGGCTCGACGTACTCGTCTTCGGACGACGTGACACAAGCTGCCGCCCAGCAGTCGAGCGTCGCCTCCAGCAGCGAGAGCGACCTGACCCAATCGGTTCAACAGCAGACCGGTATCGTGCTCGAGTGCGACTCGAGCTCTAGCAAGGCCTCGGAGCAGACCTCCCAGCTGTCTAGCGTCGCGTCCAGCAGCGCTTTGGACCCCCCGCAGGCACCGAACGTGATCCTCGAGTGCGATTCCTCGTCCTCCTCCGGCAGCAGCAACCAGCAAGTTGAAGTGCCCTCGCTGCAGTCCACCACCTCCGCTTCCGCTTCGACCTCGTCGGCCAGCAACAGCGGCGTAGAGAGCCAACAGGAGAACGTCGCGCCAAGTGCCAGCGGCAGCACCAGTTCCACTTCCACCTACAGTTCTGCTGCTACCGCCCCCAGCAGCAGCAGCAGCAGCAGCGGTTCGACTACCGACCCGACTACGCAGAACTCCAATGCCGGTTCACCTACGCAGAGTTCCAGCACGGGCTCAACCGCTCAGACGACAGGCAGCGACTCAACCGAGCAAACCGCCACCAACACGACTGTGGGCGTCCCCGACGGCACGTGGCCAGCCAGCGCGGGCACCGTTCTGTACTCGAAGCCGTACACCATCAAGGCCGGCGAGGTCTTCGACGGCAAGATGCAGACGTTCGAGCGCTCCGACATCACGTGCACCGACGGTGAGGGCCAGAAGGACTCCGCCGTGTTCCTCGTCGAGGCCGGCGGCACCCTCAAGAACGCCATCATCGGCAAGAACCAGAAGGAGGGCGTCCACTGCGACGACCACGACTGCACCATCGAGAACGTCTGGTGGGACGACGTGTGCGAGGACGCGCTGAGCATCAAGGGCGGCACTGCTTCCAGTGTGACCACCGTGACCAACTGCGGCGCGCGCTACGCCTCGGACAAGGTGGTGCAGCACAACGGCTACGGCACCGTCAAGATCAACGGCTTCTTCGCGCAGGAGTTCGGCAAGCTCTACCGCTCGTGCGGCACGTGCGGAGACATCCCTCGCACTGTGACGGTGGAGAACGTGTACGCCATCGACCCGCTCGTGAGTCTTGTGACGGTGAACAAGAACTACAACGACCAGGCCACGCTCAAGAACATTTATGTCAAGACGACAGACGGCAAGGGCGACGTCAAGGTGTGCCAGTGGTCGCAGGGCAGCAAGACGCCGTCCAACCTGGGCGACGGACCGTCGGGCACGCTCTGCCAGTACACGGAGAGTGACGTCCACATCAACGAGAAGTAAATGGTAGGCAGAAGTGCGAATCGTAGCGCACCTGAGAGTATTAATGTTGTTGTGTGTGGGTAGTTCACTAGGAGGGGGTTAGACCGAATAGATGTGTGATCATGAAACTCAAATCTGGTGTGATGGAGGCACTCCAAGTATTTTTGTCTTTGTTGCCCTGTTCGTCGATCGTCGTTGTAGTCCGAATCGTCACTATTGTCCGGAGACTCATCTTCATCCTCTTCCTCAAGCTGCGCCAATACTTCCGCTAGCGCTGCTTCACTTTCACTTTCGTCCTCGTTGTCAGCTGCCAGATGACGGGCCAGGCGGGACTCCCAACGCTCAGCTTGATCGGCACGGGATTGACTGTCTGCCGGGTCCGCTTCAGCGTTTCGGGGCCGATCCTCGTCAGTTTGGCAGCGTGGGGGGAGCGTCTATACTTCGGCACTGTGTTTTCTTGCTGCTATCGCTTCTTCGCCCGAAGCCGTATCCGCTCTGCTACTTCTGCTTCTTCTGGTGGCGTGAGTGGGGGTGGATTGGTGGTGGGAGGAGCTTGGGCTGAGCTTGCTTGGCTGGGTGTTGCATTCACAGTGACCATCTCGAGAGGAGCTTCTGGATGCACATCGCGAGCTCCATCGGCAGCTATGTCGTTCGTCCGGGGCCTGACATAGAGTATGGATACGTACAGGTTAGTCTTGAGCAGGGAATACATGAACTAACTCACGCGTACGCACCATGCCACGGGGTCAGGACCTGATCGCTTGCGGCCTGCGGGGGAGGAGAGAGGATTTTGGACTGGCGACAGGAGGCCACTGATTTTTTTTTCTAAAAACGAATTTATCTTACCAGCCAGTCCGAAGGTAAGTTTATCTTACGCAGCTGCGCGATAGCAGCCGCTGATTTGTTTGCTCTGGATATATTGAATATCCCCAAAACTGCACCAAATAGCACAGAAAGTAGTATTTGCCTACTGTGCAGTTTATGTAGTAGCAGCGTGTTCGTTAGCGAACTGCACTTTTGTATTTCACATACTGAATACGAGACGAAGCAAACCAACAAACGTGCTCGTCGACACCGTGAGCGCGAGGGCGATTATATTTCAGGCCTTGGATTCGAAGACATGTCTGGTGATGACGAGGCATCGTATCTTCTGTTGCATCCCCGCCCAGGAAGCCGCGGAATGTGCGTGGAGCATCGTCGTGAGCGCGCTCGCCTCGATGACGAGTTGCCGATGGTTAACTCAGGAATTGCAATCGGCGCTGGCTTAACGAACACGTTACCACCAACTACAGCCGGACAGATTGCGGACGACCAAGATATTCCTCTATATATTCGAGTGCCGCCAGTACCAACGTTCTTTGCGGAACAGCTTGATGGCTACACGCCTGACCAACGGAGGGCGTCAGGTCAAGCTACTATTTCCGTGACAAACAACGCGCAGGCACCAATACGTGGATCTAAAGGAAAGTCTAAACGTCGATGTCGCTAGCGTTGACGGCTTTTGTCGGGAGGAAGGAATTAAGTCAGGCAGCGTCAGGCATGTCGATATTAGACTATCTTGATACATTTATCAGACTGAATACACGTGCATGGGTTGCGACTTTATGCTGGTACGTAGCCTCTTGGAACCCGTCGAACGCTTCTTAGAAACTTTCCCACGACGACCAGTACATAGGAAATCCTTCCAAGTAGCCACCGACGACTGGTACATCTTCCACACCGCCTTGACTTTCCGATTCCTTGTCCTCGCACTGGACAGACTTTTGGTTCGCCTTCGGGTTTTGGTGCTTCTTCGCTGTTTGGTGCGCCTTCAGGGTTTGATGCCTCTTTGGGTTTTGGTACTTCTTCGGTGTCGGCACACTATTCGCAGCGGAATCGATGTCACTAGCGCGTCCAATACCGTCACAGGAGTCTCCATCGTCATCGCCCTCAGGTGTTCGTCGATCGTCGTTGTAGTCCGAATCGTCACTATTGTCCGGAGACTCATCTTCATCCTCTTCCTCAAGCTGCGCCAATACTTCCGCTAGCGCTGCTTCACTTTCACTTTCGTCCTCGTTGTCAGCTGCCAGATGACGGGCCAGGCGGGACTCCCAACGCTCAGCTTGATCGGCACGGGATTGACTGTCTGCCGGGTCCGCTTCAGCGTTTCGGGGCCGATCCTCGTCAGTTTGGCAGCGTGGGGGGAGCGTCTATACTTCGGCACTGTGTTTTCTTGCTGCTGTCGCTTCTTCGCCCGAAGCCGTATCCGCTCTGCTACTTCTGCTTCTTCTGGTGGCGTGAGTGGGGGTGGATTGGTGGTGGGAGGAGCTTGGGCTGAGCTTGCTTGGCTGGGTGTTGCATTCACAGTGACCATCTCGAGAGGAGCTTCTGGATGCACATCGCGAGCTCCATCGGCAGCTATGTCGTTCGTCCGGGGCCTGACATAGAGTATGGATACGTACAGGTTAGTCTTAAGCAGGGAATACATGAACTAACTCACGCGTACGCACCATGCCACGGGGTCAGGACCTGATCGCTTGCGGCCTGCGGGGGAGGAGAGAGGATTTTGGACTGGCGACAGGAGGCCACTGATTTTTTTTTCTAAAAACGAATTTATCTTACCAGCCAGTCCGAAGGTAAGTTTATCTTACGCAGCTGCGCGATAGCAGCCGCTGATTTGTTTGCTCTGGATATATTGAATATCCCCAAAACTGCACCAAATAGCACAGAAAGTAGTATTTGCCTACTGTGCAGTTTATGTAGTAGCAGCGTGTTCGTTAGCGAACTGCACTTTTGTATTTCACATACTGAATACGAGACGAAGCAAACCAACAAACGTGCTCGTCGACACCGTGAGCGCGAGGGCGATTATATTTCAGGCCTTGGATTCGAAGACATGTCTGGTGATGACGAGGCATCGTATCTTCTGTTGCATCCCCGCCCAGGAAGCCGCGGAATGTGCGTGGAGCATCGTCGTGAGCGCGCTCGCCTCGATGACGAGTTGCCGATGGTTAACTCAGGAATTGCAATCGGCGCTGGCTTAACGAACACGTTACCACCAACTACAGCCGGACAGATTGCGGACGACCAAGATATTCCTCTATATATTCGAGTGACGCCAGTACCAACGTTCTTTGCGGAACAGCTTGATGGCTACACGCCTGACCAACGGAGGGCGTCAGGTCAAGCTACTATTTCCGTGACAAACAACGCGCAGGCACCAATACGTGGATCTAAAGGAAAGTCTAAACGTCGATGTCGCTAGCGTTGACGGCTTTGTCGGGAGGAAGGAATTAAGTCAGGCAGCGTCAGGCATGTCGATATTAGACTATCTTGATACATTTATCAGACTTGGGTTTTGGTACTTCTTCGGTGTCGGCACACTATTCGCAGCGGAATCGATGTCACTAGCGCGTCCAATACCGTCACAGGAGTCTCCATCGTCATCGCCCTCAGGTGTTCGTCGATCGTCGTTGTAGTCCGAATCGTCACTATTGTCCGGAGACTCATCTTCATCCTCTTCCTCAAGCTGCGCCAATACTTCCGCTAGCGCTGCTTCACTTTCACTTTCGTCCTCGTTGTCAGCTGCCAGATGACGGGCCAGGCGGGACTCCCAACGCTCAGCTTGATCGGCACGGGATTGACTGTCTGCCGGGTCCGCTTCAGCGTTTCGGGGCCGATCCTCGTCAGTTTGGCAGCGTGGGGGGAGCGTCTATACTTCGGCACTGTGTTTTCTTGCTGCTGTCGCTTCTTCGCCCGAAGCCGTATCCGCTCTGCTACTTCTGCTTCTTCTGGTGGCGTGAGTGGGGGTGGATTGGTGGTGGGAGGAGCTTGGGCTGAGCTTGCTTGGCTGGGTGTTGCATTCACAGTGACCATCTCGAGAGGAGCTTCTGGATGCACATCGCGAGCTCCATCGGCAGCTATGTCGTTCGTCCGGGGCCTGACATAGAGTATGGATACGTACAGGTTAGTCTTAAACAGGGAATACATGAACTAACTCACGCGTACGCACCATGCCACGGGGTCAGGACCTGATCGCTTGCGGCCTGCGGGGGAGGAGAGAGGATTTTGGACTGGCGACAGGAGGCCACTGATTTTTTTTCTAAAAACGAATTTATCTTACCAGCCAGTCCGAAGGTAAGTTTATCTTACGCAGCTGCGCGATAGCAGCCGCTGATTTGTTTGCTCTGGATATATTGAATATCCCCAAAACTGCACCAAATAGCACAGAAAGTAGTATTTGCCTACTGTGCAGTTTATGTAGTAGCAGCGTGTTCGTTAGCGAACTGCACTTTTGTATTTCACATACTGAATACGAGACGAAGCAAACCAACAAACGTGCTCGTCGACACCGTGAGCGCGAGGGCGATTATATTTCAGGCCTTGGATTCGAAGACATGTCTGGTGATGACGAGGCATCGTATCTTCTGTTGCATCCCCGCCCAGGAAGCCGCGGAATGTGCGTGGAGCATCGTCGTGAGCGCGCTCGCCTCGATGACGAGTTGCCGATGGTTAACTCAGGAATTGCAATCGGCGCTGGCTTAACGAACACGTTACCACCAACTACAGCCGGACAGATTGCGGACGACCAAGATATTCCTCTATATATTCGAGTGCCGCCAGTACCAACGTTCTTTGCGGAACAGCTTGATGGCTACACGCCTGACCAACGGAGGGCGTCAGGTCAAGCTACTATTTCCGTGACAAACAACGCGCAGGCACCAATACGTGGATCTAAAGGAAAGTCTAAACGTCGATGTCGCTAGCGTTGACGGCTTTGTCGGGAGGAAGGAATTAAGTCAGGCAGCGTCAGGCATGTCGATATTAGACTATCTTGATACATTTATCAGACTGAATACACGTGCATGGGTTGCGACTTTATGCTGGTACGTAGCCTCTTGGAACCCGTCGAACGCTTCTTAGAAACTTTTCCACGACGACCAGTACATAGGAAATCCTTCCAAGTAGCCACCGACGACTGGTACATCTTCCACACCGCCTTGACTTTCCGATTCCTTGTCCTCGCACTGGACAGACTTTTG